CATATATGAAAATTGTAATGTCATTTTATACAGCATAGGTTTGGAATAAATCACTATTTCAGGTAAAAAAAACCCAACATACTCTTGAGGAATACACAGTCAAAACAAGTTTGAATATTTGGGTAAGACAATTTAGTCTGGAGATATATTTCAATTTTCTTTTACAGCAAATGCGAATTTTGAATTAGTGAAATAACATGGAAGAGTGGTATGTTGCAATATAGGTTGAAAGCCAATAAAAACTGAACCCTCCTGATCTTGCTAAAAGGAAAATGAGTAAGGCAATCACTTGAGTTTGTCACATAATGTAAGTGATTAACATAAAATGTGTTAATGTTCACAGTTACAAGAAAAAAATCGCCAGAGATTGAAGGTGACCATCAAAACCTATTTCAGGATTTTGAAGGTCTCTTCAAAATCAAGTCTGATTTCCGTTCCAATGCCATTTTATGCTAACCCTGCCCTTAAGAGTCTGTTTTCCCACTAACTAGCCCTGAGCATCCTATGAGTTCTTGACAGACTCTGTACATAGGCACTCCATTTTTCCATGCTGGTCTTCTCTATGCCTCTGAATAGTCATACATCTTGCAGAAGGAACCCGTGTTTAACTCATTCCAGCCATACTACAAACACACTTGAAAATGAGTTTAGTTTTTCCATCAGTTACCTGAAACATCTCAATTTCATAGATGCAGCCCAACCTCAAAAGCATAGTAACCCAAACAACTAGCTGTCATAAAGGTCAACTCACTCATATAAGTAAGGCAATGGCCATAACTATGTGTTTGCATCATCAGCTGCTTTCATTCTGTGTTCTTTCTCAGAGACTTACTGAATTCTACATGTAGTGTATATAAACACACATGATATAGCAGATATAAAATTTTACAGTATTAGAAATAATGTAAGAATAACCCTCTGACATCATGGTTTGGGTTTCAGCTTCTGAGAAATTATACTTGTATTCCAGTTCATATATTGGAGTTTTTTATGGCAAGAAGAAATTAATCCCCTTGCAGAAAAACTGTTACTGACTACTTCAATGGCTGTACAATATGCTTGGAGAAAAAGGAGAGCCAAGGTAAAATTCATGCTTCAAATCAAGGGATTTAAATTTGGATTTCACAGATACCACTCTAATAACCTAATTAGGATTATTTAAAGGAGGGAGGAGAAAAATACAATCTCTGTGTTGCAATCTATACCTATTTTGTCTGTGAATTAGCCCTTACTTCCAAGTATTTTGTTTAAAAAGTGAAACAAAAGAGGTAAAAAGTTAGGTCAATTAAACAGTTTAATTCAAGCATAATATATTTTACTGGAAGAGTTTAAAAATATTCTACTGATCAAGTTTGTATGGCCACCAAATTAAAGAGGTGATGAAAAGACGATACAGAATCATAGAACCATAGAACGGTTTGGGTTGGAAAGGACCTTAAGATCTTTTAGTTTCAACCCCCCTGCCATGGGCAGGGATGCCTCACACTAGATCATGTCACCCAAGGCTCTGTACAGCCTATACTTGAACATTGACAGGGATGGAGCATTTACCACTTCTCTGGGCAGCCCATTCCAGTGCCTTGCCACCCTCAAGGTAAAGAAATTCTTCCTTACATCTAATCTAAACTTCCCCTGTTTAAGTTTTAACCCATTAACCCTTGTCCTATTACTACAGTCCCTGATGAAAAGTCCATCTCCAGCATCCTTATAGGCCCCCTTCAGATATTGGAAGGCTGCTATGAGGTCTCCACGCAGCCTTTTCTTCTCCAGGCAGAACAGCCCCAACTTTCTCACCCTGTCTTCATACAGGAGGTGCTCCAGTCCCCTGATCATCCTCATGGCCTCCTCTGGACTTGCTCCAACAGCTCCATGCCCTTCTTATGTTGAGGAAACCAGAACTGCACACAGTACACCGAGTCTCACGAGAGGAGCGTAGAGGGGCAGGATCACCTCCTTTGTCCTGCTGGTCACGCTTCTTTCAATGTGGCCCAGGATACAGTTATCTGAATAATACTATTTCTTGCCACAGTTGAGCCATTTTAATGGAAAATTTCTAAATTATTAAGTTTAAGGCAGGTGCCAGAAGTGGAAAATTTCAACATAAACAGTTAACATTTAGAAAAATTACAAGCACGTGGGAGTAATGTCTTTTGGTGAAAAGCTGGATGCAGCTTTAGCTGAAGACCATGCTATCAGCTCCACCTTAAAGATCTTATTTACAATTGCAACAAAACCAGGAAAGGACAGTGCAATAAAACCTTTGATTGTGAATAAAGTTAACAATATTAATTTCTTTAAAATGGAACACATAGACATAAAACAAGTAATAATTTGGTGTACTGGCTCAGACATAACTTGTGCAAAATAAAATCTACTACTCTCGAATTTTTAAGCAAAATAATTCTGGAGAATGGTGGAAGGGTCACTAAAACCTTTGTCTTATCAATGAAACTACAAAGTTTTATGGATGGAAAGCAGGGAAGACATCAAATCTACTAGTAAGGGTCCACATAGAACATTATTGCCCTATAGGAAGGAAAAGAATTTTAGGAATCTTTATAATCCTGCTGGGCCTGTAAAAATAGAAGCAAAGAGAGGTCAAAGGATCTCAGCGGACGGTTAGACTGCAAAGCATGTGCACAGTGAAATACTTTGACATTAGTTTCAGAAAGGCAAGCACTGTTGAAATGACTTTGGACAACAGACAGTAACTAGAATACTGAAGCCTATTCTTGTAAGAGTATTATAAATAATTATAAATTATAACTTTTATTAGCTAGAGTTTTATAAATACTATTTTGCATCATAGGAAGTCACAATGCACATCAGCACAATCCAAGTATTAAACTTCCAAGTCTCAGGCCTTAGAACAATGACAATACATTTCTTGACTATTTTTCTAATCAGAGTCCACAGCATGTAACTTCAAGAAAGTCCAAATGTTTGAATTACAAATATTTACAATTTGAAAGTGTTTATCAGAGGGAAGAAGCTGAGCAACCCCTAGTGGTAGCAGAAAAATACATACTGGGAAAAAAAAAGCAAAATTTTTCACAGGATCAAAGCATTTTCAAAAATACATTATTTTGTAAACACAAATTCTAAAGCTGATTATAGCATTCAGAAAAACTATAAAAATTCAGGTATGATGCATGGCAGTTTTTCCCTAGAAAAAAGAGCACAATTCTTAGGAGCAGCTGAGGGAACTGGGGTTATTTAGGCTCGGGGGGGCCTTAACGCTCTCTACAACTACCTGAAAGGAGTATGGAGAGAGGATGTGGCTGGTCTATTCTCCCAGGCAACAAGTGATAGGACAAGAGGCAGCAGCCTCAAGCTGCACCAGGGGAGGTTTAGATTGGATATTAGAAAAAAAATTTTCACAGAGAGGGTGATCAGGCATTGGAACAGGCTGCCCAGGGAAGTGGTGGAACCACCGTCCCTGGAAGCATTCAAAAACCTCGAGATGAGGCCCTCAGTGATACGGTTTGGTAGTGGTCTTGGCAGTCCTGCAGGAATGGTCGGATTTGATAACCTTAAAGGTCTTTTCCAATCTAGTTGATTCTATGATTCTAGAATTCTATTTGAATGTGATAATTGTGTTTGATAAAATACACTACAATATAGTTGTCTTACAATGTATTACGAAGAATCTTTTCTTTGCATTTTTCTCAAAGAGAATTTTTTCTCCAATTCTAAGATGCCCTAATGCAGCTACTGCCAAATTCAGCATGATCATTTAAGGAGGAATTTGCAAACACTATACAAATGAAACACACAAAAAAATAAAAGCTTAGACCTTTTTATATTTTCTTTGAAAGTGGTTATCTAGAATCCAGGTTTATCAGTTCCATTCTATAAATTCATTGCAAAGTGTACTTTCTGTCTTCTGAACCTTCTGGAAATTTACTTCAGCTGAATGAGATTTTCTGTGTTAGCCATCTGCTGCTCAAGATTCTTATGAATACCCATCAGAACAAAGCAGGTATAAAGACAGAGATGAATATGCCTGAAAACATCAATATCAAAGAACTCAAAATACATCTGAAACATATACAGTCTTTCAAGAGTTTTCCATGTACAAGTATTAAAAGGAAAAGCCATTGCTCTGTTGCCACCAATGATCCCATGCCTCTAGCCATCACCAGCATAAAGGGATGGTAATTCATAGAGTCAAGCTCATTTCAGACCCCACAAGTCCACATATCAGTAGATAATATTACAGAAATAAAAGAATGGGTCAAAAAGTATGTCCTCTTCTTTCAAAAAAAATGTAATATTGAAGACAGTATGTCCAAAATCAAAGAAAAAATGGACAGACCTAAAGTCACACTTAAAAGTGCAGTCATAAGAAATCACTTTGGAAACGAGCTCTTCTTGATTTTCACTGTGTTTCTAAAGTAACTTTTGAAACTGGTTTGGGGTCAAAAAATCAGTTCAGGCAGAAAGTTAATGTGCTTGTTGCTAGAACACCTGCATTTATTTCAAAGATGACAAAAAAGGCTTTCAAGAGAATTGAAGTCAATCCCTAAAAATTCACAGAACACTGGGAAAAAAGAAACAACCCCTCCTAATATTTATATAATAATTATACTACCATAGCACTTTGGGCTGAACTGTAGCAATCAGCAAAGCAATGTGAATTGCAAGCTGCCAGTTTAACTCTGGAGCTAGCACAAGATTCCTGTGATAGTCTAATGGCTAGATAATTCAGAGCCAAGAATTCTGACATACAAATTTTAAATTCACAGAAAGACAGACATGACAGATATCTGAAGATTTTGTGATAACAGTCTTGCAAATATTTTTAAAGACTTCTGATTTCTTACTGAAAAATATGCATACTTTTACTATAAATAATCTGTTGGCACAGTATAGTGTGCTCTCAGGTGGTGTCTGCTTGGTAAACAGTGCTTAATAGATGTTCCATTTTTATCACCTTCAAGACACTTTTGACTACATTTAAGAAGCAGCATGTAATGAATCACATGGAAATATCATACCTCCACATTGCTGAGATGCTGTTTTTCAAGGAGCTGTTGCATTTCTTTCAGATTTTTCTGGAAGAGAAGTTGGTTACTATCCATGTTTGTTCTACTGCTCTCTTGTATTGTTTTATCCCAGCCAACCATTGCTGAAATCTGCTTCTGATGGCAAAAACTGTTTCTAGATGCTGATGAGGATGAAGTGTCATCTGCGGTTCTTGATGCAAGCAAATAACTTATTACTTTGGCTTATTTCTATGCGTCAACTGTACACTGTTAAACATGTCCCTGTCCAAAAGTACACATCATCAATAAATGCCTGGAAAGTGAAGGACAGCTATACTATACCTAACTACAGGTGGTGCTAAAACTGTCCAACACTTTCAATTTTAAACCTTCTCTTCTGCTATTTATAAATAGTCAGACTTTTCTGATTGGGTTGTTGGGTCACTGCCTCAGGCTGAATTAATCTGGAAAATGTCAGCCAACAGTTTGGTCATTTACAGAAATGGAACATGGAGTGTTTGATTTTGTTGTGGGGTTTTTGGCTTCTTTTTTTTTTTTTTTTTCTGTTTTGTTTCTTTGGTGGCTTTTTTTTTTGTGTGTGTGTGTGTATGTACGTGTGTAGTGTTTGTTTTTTTTTTTAAACAAGCAAAATGGCCTTAATTTTTCCATAAGGTTGGTTTACATAGAGCATAGCTGTATACTGATGTTGTCAGATATACCCTTCAAATAGCAAGAAGGCTTTGTAGTATCTAGAGAGCCCTAATATACTGATGACAGGTAATGTCAGTAAAGGGGGACACTAAGGAATTTATATTACTACCTGAAAAAAAAAAATCTTTGGAGTAGCTGGTGTAGCTGGGTACTGTTGTCAGGGTGAGCCTGGCCTGGTAAGTTAGATAGAGGAAACCGTAGGATGAGAACTGGCAAGAACTATAGGTCTGGTTGACACCCAGAAATCGAAGAAACCAAGAAGCATGTGAAGCCAAATGACAAGAAAAATGTGGCTAGGAAGACAGGAAGCATGTAACAAGATAAATTAAAGAATAAAAAGCAGACAGAACTGGAATGAGGCTAGGTAAAGTCACTAGGAACAGGAATAGGAACAAGCTTTGGAAAAGCAGCAGCAAGACCTAGGTAGATATCAAGGATGACAAAGTAGCTTTAACCAGTAAGAAAGGTAGGCCTTAAAAAAAAAGCAAAAATAACCCGCAAACCAAAACACAACAGCCCATAGGTAGATTAAGTGTTAGACTTCTGGAAGTATAATGATTAACAGGTTGCCAGCTATGCTTGACTTACGAGGTGGAACAGTTTAGCAAAAGATCCTGGCTTTTGGCTCCAACCTGGTTCTAAATGCCAGACCAAGGGCCCTAAATGCCCTTGGTCTGGCATATCCAAAGTGGCACTTACAGAAATCTCTCACTAGATCCATGCTTTGAATTCTGATATCTGTTCAGTAGAACTATTAACCCTTACAATTGAGTAGAAAGCCAAGCCTATGTCTCGCTGGTTTAGGATCAAGTATTTGTTGTACTTCACAATTACTACAAATGGTGGTAGAAGGAGAAAAGATCTTGGAAATAGATTATTGGTATAAACCTCCAGTGAAGTTACTTGCAAAATGGCTATTCCTTTACCAACAAGGAGAGATCCAGTTTTTATTTTACCAGGTTGATCAGGTCCAATATTTAAAAAGATACTTTGCCTCAACAATCACTGGATTTTGAGTAACAAACTAAACCTTATTGTCCATTCAATATGAAGATGCTTTTCAACATTCCCAGGATGCCTTTCTGATATACAATTCTTACATATAGCCTTGGCAGCCCTGGGGTAATGGTTGGACTTGATGATCTTAAAGGTTTATTCCAACTTAGTTGATTCTATGATTCTCTTGCTCATTAGGTGTTTCTGGATTTCTTTTACCGTCTCGAAGAGGAGGCAATACATCTCCATTGCCTAATTTAATTGTTTACAACTTTTTAAACATAGACATTTAGAACTCTAGAACTTTATAAAATTCACCTATCTCCAGTTGGGTCTGCAGCCATATTTATCTTGAATACTTCATACAATATTAATTGCTTCATTTAAAAGGGGACTGCCCATGAATGCTATATATTCTATTTCTGATGGAGGGTAAATTCTAAAGATCATGCAAGATATTTGGGTTGAGTCTTTATAGAAATTTAAGAAGAGATGGAAACACAGAAAGGGATCTACTACCTTGTCTGAGTTAGTTATTAGTTGACACAAAATTTCCAACTAAAGGGATTCTAAGGCATTTTTAAAGCTTTACAGCCCAGAACTGTTGAGTTTTGAAGAACCTCCACCTTTGAGAACCTTCTCAAAATGTTCTTCTGTATCAAAGCTTACTTTGCTGTACTGTATTGCAAGAAATTTATTTGCCCTCTAAGATAATTTTGCACAATTTTTAAAACCACATCTGAAAACACAGAAATGCCACTTCTATGATGCACATAAACTATGGCTCCCAGGCCAACACTAAAAAGAACAACACTGCAATAACATCTTCTGTAACAGATCAGAAGAATCTAGCCTACATGACATGTGTTCAGTTTGAATCTCAGTGCTTAGTAAAGGATTGTGTGAGATGCAGACAAAAATGCAGAGTATTTTCGGTGGCAAGGAAGGAAGACAAATTGTTAGTATTAGTATAAGCAAAGGTTTATTTCATGTTATTTATATACCTTGCCCCTATACATAAGCCTGTACTGCAATAACTTAATTCTATTTGCCTTATTACCATACCCCCAATATTCCTTACATCCTCCTGCACCCACCCCATACGGCTCCTACTAAAGCCTCCTAGCTAACCAGCTGTGAAAAAGGCAGCACTGAGCAGGTTGCAAGATATTCATGTGCTGACTTACCCACACTGACTGCCTTGTGACCTGCCAATAGCTCCATGCAGACTCAACTTTTAACACTTTCTCATGATTTCTTCCTTGCTCAATTGCCAATTTAAAACTTGTAGAAATATAATTATCATTGAGATTCTTAGCTGTCTTTCAAATTTGTTTACAGGGGAACACAAAGTGTAAAAGAATATGAACACATACATTTAATTTCCTTAGGAAATCGAGTTATAAAAATGAAAATCAGGGAAAGAACACTATCGTTATTACAGGATAGTGAATTTTAAAACTAATATCAATATGAATTGACAGCAATGTTATACTGTGGAAAATGGTATGTCGTTTGAAGAGATCCTGAGGGAAAAATGTGAGAGACCCTGAGGCACAAGCAGCAGTTTGAAGAGATGAAAACTAAAGAAAAAAAAGATAAAGGCAAGGGGAAGAGGCACTGAGCTGCCTTCCTTAATCAAGCTATTAGTGAAGCAGGACAAATGATCAGGAACCCTGAGACAGGGGTCAGAAAGATCTGAATTTTTTTTTTTTTCCATAATTTCAATTTATACTTAGAAGGTACAGTTTTTTGGTTTTTTTTTTTGTTTATGGCTGCAATCCTTCTATGTATGTGACTGGCCGATAGCATGAGCATTTAGCTCTAAGACCTATGGAATATTGTCACAATTGCCCAGTTTATCACCTGCATATGTATTAATCAGCAGCAGGTATGTAACCAAACTGAATATTAACATCACAATGAAGGTCACACTGAAGTAGGGAGACTCCTTTTAGACAGAGTTTATCTCTATTCTGAACACCTGCTCAATTTACAGCATGCAGAAAATAATTCAAATAACAGTAATAACAGAAGCAGCAACAACAAAAATAAAATCCTGAACTGAAATGCTAAAAAAATTAGAGATTATGAAGGGAATAATCAGGAACAAATACCAAATACACCAGATAGATAAACTATGCATGAAAAGGAAAAGTGCTTGGGTAGACTGAAAAGACTGCAATGCAAATTGTATGTGATATAAAATGAAATTGCAGGCCGAGTTGTCTTCAAGATGCTCAAGATATATAGAGAGGATGAGAAATTTAAAGGAATGACAGCTGGAAAAAAGATAAGATCATGGCATGAATATACAAATTAACTATCCTTGATTGTCAAAGAAAAAATTTGGATGAGAATAAGAAATAATCTAGACAAAATACTTCATAATTCATAGAACAGCAGATGGTTTGATAACCATGGCAATCTGAGTCAGACTATAACTGAATGGAGACTAGGTCAGCCTGACTATACCCAGAATTCCATTGAAGGGAAAAGGTTTGTGTCATCTCCTCTGTTGTTTTACAAAACGGACATAAACAACGCAAGGATGTTTCATAATGCTTCACTGGAACAGTTCACAGAAATGCTTTCTTTGCCGCAAAAGAAATGGCCTACAACTCCTTAAAGAGTAATTGTCTGCTGTTTATTGAATGCACTAAGCAATTTACTTCCTTTGATCATTAGAGTAAACAGAAATGCTTACCTGAAGTTGGGTTTGTTTCTGCTGGGCAAGCAGTCCTGGTGTTAAAACTGATCCTTTAATTTGTTCAAGAGCTTCTTCTAACTGAGAGGCTGCTTTTGTCTGGACTAGGGTGATTAGAGTGAAAAACACAATGGAAAAAATATTTAAAAAATGGGAATATTTTACCATAAATGGTTTGGTTAAGTTTCTGCAGTTTGGAAGCCTAAATTCAGACTATTACAATAAACTGAGTGGCTTAGCCTCATTTAGATATGCTAGAGCAACTCTTGTTCCTCTTAAGCAAAACCCCAGTCTACTTCAGTGTTTACAGTAACACATGTATTCAACAGGTTAGCTATTCATTTTCAGACTGCACTGCTGAAAAAGTAGGAGGTTAGAAACCCCAACACTGACTTTGTTTTACATGAAGATTATTCTGCTTATGGACTAAGCCAAAGTTATGGCTTGCAGATATTTTATAGAGGCCAAATTGTAGCTTAATAATCAAACCAGTGGAGAAAGAGTCCAGACAGGCACAAGGTGTTGCCTTGTCCAAGTAAGTAGAAGTAGGGTAGAAAGTGGCAGAGTTGCTATAAAGGAAACCTATGAAAAGAAATTGTGATTCATTATATTGCTACACAGTCTGGGCTGTCAGTAGAGCTATGAAGAAGCCCTAAACCAGTACTGTTTTGTAATTTTAATCTGACATTTGATCTTGAAGTCAGAGACATTACCTCACAGTTGGCGCAACTGCCGTTGGGAGAGTAAATCTGTTAAAGAATACCTAAGTAATATACCATATCTTAAGAATTTCAACGCTGGAAAGCTGACTGGAAATCAGACTTGGCTGATGCTGTTAAAAACTCCTGCCAATCAGTGCTGATTCCAAGAAAGCAGGAATGGAGTTGAAGTGATCATTACTTCCCAGCAGCAAGAGAACAGCTTAAGAAGCTGACTAATTCAGCAGAAGTTATGTAACACAGTAAATATATGTTAGGACTGCTTTTATTTAATGATAAACAAAATGCACATTCTAAATTATTTCACATTGGGAGGTTCAAATAGCAGATCATTATATTACCATAGTAACTTTCAGGGACCTTGTAACACTTCACACCCAGCTGTGAAAGCACAGTATTGTAAGCAGTGAGCACACCGCAGTGAAAGAAGTGGGGAAAAAACACAATATCGCAAGGAGGTGATGTACTTACTGTGACAGGAATATAATGAAATACCTCACAATACAATTTTCAGGAAAAAAAAAATAGCTTTGTTTTAATTCCTTCTACCCAATTTTGTCCTATGCATCAGATCTGAGCTTCAGACAGTTAAATTGCTCTTATATGAATTCAATTAGAGTGAAGTTAATAGTTCTGTTTACCTCAATTATATCCTATTAATACAAAACCCAACTGTATTATGAATAATAGTTAAATTTTAATTTACAAACCTATTTGTTTGTGCTGAGAAAAAGGCAGATGAGCACGCTGGAACTTATCAGTTGCTTCCTGAAGTTTCATTTTCCTCTGCAGCAGAACTTGTTGTCTAAATCTTTGTTCTTTCTCTTCAGCTTGCTTTTGTCTTTCTTCAAAGGCTCTGTATTTAAGAAGCGAAAGTAGATGATCCCTACGTTTTCTAATTACAGTTACCAAAATAGTAGTAACTTTCTTACTTATCAATTCACAATTCTAGTGCAAAAGCTTGCTTGTCCATAAATTAAATGCTATAAACTTCAGAACTGGATTTTTATGTTTGGACATAATCAGGCCAGTGGGTGGTGAAGATGAGACACACCATAGTATTATTATGTTTTCAGCCTTAACTAGAAATTCAATTCTTTCTTATGCGTGAATTAACATGCAGACTCAGCTAGTTCTTGTCACCAATGTGACTTTCTACATTACCATGTAAATGTATAACAGCGGTCAGATCAATAGGTGAACAGCAAATGCTCTGTGCCTATACTGTTGGGGAAATAGTAACAATTTAAAAGCTGTTATTCAGAAATAACACAAAGGAACTACAGCTTTTTATCTATAGATATGTAAGAGTTAGTATCAGCTAACAAGAGTTAGTTGTTGAGAAGTTTCCTGAAATACATCAGGTTAGTAGCACAAAATAGAATAAAACAGCAATGTGAAACTATGATTGACAGACTCAGTTATTAGCATCAACTATGTTAAAAGTGTCCTTCTACTGGCTGGAAAGCAAAGCAGGCTCTAATCAAAACCAACAATCATTACCTATGTGATGATCATTGCTATGTGGAAGTTTCATTCCTATTGAGAAACTTGAACAAGCTCCTTGAGCAAAATATACCCAGTAAATTTGTTGGCACAGTGACTATGTAGGCAAGTCACATTTAAATGATGGTTTTAAACTGAAAGAGGGTAGATTTAGTCTAGCTATAAGGAATAAATTTTTTACAATGAGGGTGGTGAAGCATTGGAACATTCTTCCCATAGAGGTGGTAGATGCCTCATCCTTGGAAACATCCTATTCTAAATACGGTAATACTGTAAAACTTACACTCTCAGAGTTCAACTTGTAAAGCCTGCCATGCAAGGATCACTACAACTGGGAGCTTTCCATTTTTAAAGGTCTCTGTGTGTGAGAAATGTGATTTGGCAGATCACTACTACACTACACAGGGTACCACTCCTAGCCAGCATTAGTGGAAAGAAAGGTAGCAATGTTTAGCCATATGCTATTTCTCTCATCACAATAAGATACTCCCCATAACTTTAATCACTCGCAGATCTTTCTGGAGCAAAGCTGCTACTTAACAGAGCTTCTCTTTAACTCAAGCTATTTTAATTATTCTTCCCTTCACTTTTCACAGAAAGAGTTCAAACTGAAATATTCAACTTGAACCAACCTAGTATCCCTTCAAAGTGCTGACCTTTGAAAACAAACAGAAAACTGATCTGAAATAGGTACTTTTTATTTTAGAAAGTCAAAAGGCCATAATTGCACAACAGTAAAAAATAGGAAAACTGCCAACTAATCCCCAGTACACACTTTTACAGGAATATCCACTTTAATCCACTTGGAAGCCAAAGCATAGCAGAGAGAGACATGAGGAACTTTCACTGTTTTGAAAATTCATATGTGCACGGTTATCAAAAACATACTGAAACTAATGACTTGAGATTTCTCAATTTTATGGACAAATTATTACATTTCATTAGTAGAAACTGAAGACAAATAGATATACTTTTTTTTTTCCAAGTGGAAATGCACTTTAAACAGATTCCATGCAGCTATTCAAACCTTAAGTCACAAAGATGACGTTCTTGCTTTCCTGCCATCATTATGAGTGCACCTTAAAACTCCTCCCCATACCATAAGGAAAAACTGGAAGCTGTGTAACATCTGGTCTTGCTTCTTCAGTACTACACCCCCAGTGCTACCAGTGTGAAGCTCAAGAAAGAAAATGGTGGAGCATATGAAAAGCTAAAAGTAAAAAGAGACAAAATGTGCAAAAGGATCCACTGCTTTGCTGATGTATGTAGCACTCTGGATTAATGTTCTCCAAGGTCAGAAATCAAAATGGCAGTAGACTCCCCTCAGAAAGCTCCAGATCTCCCAGCAGCAGGATTCCTCACAATTGTCTTGGACCACAAGAACTGCTGAGAGTAAATCCTGTGCTGTATGTAGGCAGCAGTTTACGTTTTAACAAATAAATGGCAAATGGCACTTAATAGTAACACATTCAAAAATCTAGATGAATTTCTACAATTCTAGGTAGCTCTTCTTCTACAGATGGAGTTCTAAAACCCTACAGCTATAATGAAGGTTAAGACAGAAAACTGACTTTTACAAAGAGAAACAAATTAAAACATGATCCCAACACTTAAAGTTTCATTTGCAAACTTCAGTTTGTTGGCAAGCAGAAATGGCCTTCCTTGAAGCATGAGGTGAAGCCAGACAAGCAGTTATTCAAAACCAGGAAAAATCTGCGGAGAACTATTCACATAAAATGCCTTACTGTAATTTGGTTAAAATTTCACAGGAACTTTAATTGTCCATACAATCCAGAAGTTAGAACTAAAAAAGTAGCATAAGAGTTCATTGTCAGCTTTCAGTATTCCTGTGTTTCAGACATGTTAAAATCTGACACAGAAATCTTTATCCTTACTAAAGAAACAGGGAAATCACAACAGAGGAAACAGACTTGCTTATTAAGGGGATCAAGAAGAACACATTCTTCATGATCCCCTTAATATTTCTAGAAGCTGCTCCACAAGGCCTTTAGTTGAACTGTGGTCGTTAAATCCAGACATGTGGGAAATTCTACAGCTTTGCACCTGGAGTAATTCCAGTGTATAACTCCAAAAAGGAAAGAGTAAATTCTGATAGTCTTTATTTATTTATTTTTTAAATTCTTTTGGAGTATGACTTCGCTGCACTCTTCCACATTCTTAGTAACTGGCATAAGAAAACCCCCTCTTGTTCCATACAGATGGATATGGGGAAGTCCAAATGCTGATGCAAGAGATCTTTTTCACCACAGCTCATCATGATCTCTATTTGGTTTGGACTAAGACATGAAGGAGAAAAAAGATCTTATTTTAAATGTAAGGAAATGCACTAAGGATATTCAGTGAAGCCTGCATCATTAACTTCTTGACCTCACAGAATGTAAATTGTGACACCCAGGTGCATTATGCAAAATAAATAATTTTACAAATGCGCATTGACATCTTACAGAAAAACAGTTAAAGCAAATGTTTGTTCATCCGCTCTCCTTAAGTCACCAGCTTAGGTTCATATCACAGATGTAACATTGGCAAAAGAGTATGGCTTTAAGATGGAGAGTTAGCAGAAGAATTTCCTGACCAGTGTTTTTTTAACCCAGTTTTTCTGTCTACTATAAACAACCCAGCGGTGCAGCAATTTTTGAAATTGCTGCCAAAATGCTTATAGTGAATTTGGAATAAGAAACTTAAAATATTTAGCAGTTTCACATATACAGACATTATGTGGAAGGTATTTTTATGTTAAAACCAGTATGACTAGATGGTGGAACTATGTCCTGGTTAATTTTATTAAATTATCTTCACAGTGAAGTGATGGATGCTGCATTCCCAGGTGGACTAAATGCTTAATACTGCCTTGGATAATGATTAAAAAAAGGAATATATACAGTGCAGCTGGAATGCTACAAAATGAAACTTTTGGTACCGAGTTGATATTATTTATCCATTGCCATATCACATTTGCAAACCAGTGCACAGTAATTTTAAAACTGAGGTGGGATAGTATTTGTATACTTAATGACTACAGCAACATCAAGAAAAGGCTAGAATGCAGTGTCACACTCAAAACCCCCTTCATGTGCAGACAGGAAACACACCTTGCATCTTTAAAAAGATCAGCAGATGCTGCCCATAGGTTTTTTCTTTTAAATTAAATACTTCCCAGAACTACAGGAACATGTTTTGAATTCTATCCCCTCATCTTCGGTTATTATACGCTGAATACAAAAGGAGAGGCCCAAATTGCTGTAAGGGCTTCGGAAGGACTGACACAATGTTGTCGTGGTTTAAACCCAGTCAGCCACACAATTTCTACCCCCCCCCCCTTTCTTTCCTCCCCCTCCTCCCGCCGCCCCCCCCCCGCCCCCCACTCCCGGAGGGTTGGGATAAGAACAGTCCAGTAACTAAGGTATAACACAAATCACTGCTGCTGCCACCAATAATAATAATGATAAGGGAAATAACAACGGAAGAGAATACGATACCACCCTCCGAAATGAGCCCAACAAAGAAGAGAGTGCCCTTCTGGGTAACTCTCAGTTACCTCCTGGGCATGACGTGCTGCGGTATGGAATACCTCTTTAGCTAGTTTGGGTCAGGTGTCTGCTTCCTCCTGGCTTCCCTTCCTCCCTGGCAGAGCATGAGACTCACAAAGTCCTATGGCTAGTCTAAACATCTGAGCAGTAACTAAAAACATCGGTGTTATCAGCTCTGTTCCCAGGCCGAAAGTCAAAAACACAGCACTGCACCAGCTACTAAGGAGGAGGAAAAAAAAAAAAAAAGACTGCTACTGCTAAAGCCAGGACAAATGTTGTGAGGGTTCACTGAGGGCTGTCCTCCAAAATGCCCAAAGGTTTACAGGAAGGTTGCCTGCTCTATCCACCAGTTGCACTTCAGATCTCGTTTATAGGCAAAAAGTAAGCACACCTTATATAAAGCCAAGAACTTTTTTGTTAGTATAATTCAGTCCTTGAGTGTTTAATCATTATTAATCCAGATGCAATTGTTAATGAAAAATAATACAGTTAGAATACTTCTATACAAAGAAAGCCTCAATAACAGTGATAAACCAGTTTGAACTGTTACTCACACATTGAGTTTCTACCCCTTTCCCTAATGCTTATGCTTCCATTGCTCTTCTGTGTCCCAAGGCTGGTAGTTTCATTCTGGTGGTACTGAGGTGCTGTGGTGAGCCGTTAGCATTTGAAGTCCCTTCACCAGGAACAGTAGGATGTTCATGTTAATGCTTTCTTCTTCCTCATCCCAGGATCTGCTCGGAGTCATTTTTATATTTGCTAACATGCTTTTATACCTTTGCTCTTTCTTCATTAGTCTGCAGCTTCACAATACCTCCAAATATTCTATGCATGGTGCCTTTTACATTTATGGCATAGTACTCTTTTGTTCTGTTACCCTAAAGCCAGCTTTGTCATGTCTAGGTCTGCATTCCTTTAGTCAACTATCCATGCACTGGGGTCTCCAGTGCCAAGCCTGTGCACCATCTCTCATCATCCCCTGCCTGCACTCCTCTAAGCCTCCAGTTCTCAAGGCCCCTGCTGCTGTACCAGGCCTGTATTTCCCTACACTACATCAGCATGTTAAAGTCATAAATATCTCATTCTCTACATAGAATAACTGTTTGTTACTGCTATCCATAGAAAACTACAGTCATACCATAAAAAGATAAACAAATTAGCCACAGACACCTGGTCAATTAGAGAAACTGCTGTTACAGCTACATCAAGCAAAACAAAGCTGAGGGCAGGTCAAGAAAAGTTCAGAGAGAGGAAGCTTAGCAAGCATCTGTCCTGAGGCCTTGCAAATTCAGCACAATCCTGTGGCCTCTTACCAGAATGGCACTGCTGCGTTACAGGTCTACGAAGTTACAGTGACCGCTACTTTTCGCAGTTCCATTCTGATGTAGAAAGCAATACAACATTCTTATCACTTTGTCCCCTCCATTTACCAAGTGGTAACATTTTTTCCTGTTTCTGACACTAGACTGCTTTTCATTCTCTATCAAAACCACTGATGAATAATATAAGGAGTTTTTATTAAATAATCAATGAATAATTTAAGGCGTTTTTATTAAATAATCAAAGATAATCAGCCAGTAGGTGGAGCACAAAGCTTGTGGATACGTTGAAAATAAAGTATTTTTGAAAAAAACCCAAGCCAACAGTAATAGGAATAGATTGGAAACTGATATAAATTGAGAAAACATTTCCTTCCCCAAGTACAACACATGGATTAGCTATTTAGATTTCAAGGCAATTCAAAATGCTGAACCAAGATACTAAACTGTAAGGTTTAGTTAAAAGTGCACATAGACAATTGCATTTCCAGAATGCACCAACTACTTGCAGCCAGTAACATCACAGTGAAATGGGATGCTCAAGTTGCACTGAGCAGTAACATCATGAAGGCTACCGTCCCCAGCAAACTGGCAGCTGGTATTTAGAAAGTGTTAGGGTATATAAACACAAAACATGATACCCTGTTCATTTACATCAAGTATGTGCTTAGTCAGGAGCTCTTCTTTCCAGAATAGTAATTTAAACAAAATATCTGTCAGCTACTACCCCAGAGCATATTTAATTCTTAAGCTGATCTTGAAATTGCAACTTCACAAAGACAATAAAGGAATTACATTCTTGGTACTCAGGCAACTTGTGTAAAGATAACCAGTAAGCAGTTTTTTTGTAGTGTTGAAGTACTGCTGGTAACACAAACCTAAGGAGTTTGGTCAGTACAAGAGATGCAAAGAAACTGATGGCATCAGGTAGGAATAGAGGTTCCCCTGAGCATTCACTTCGAAAAAGGCCTGTGACTGGTTATTGAGACTTTGCTTTCCAAAGCTAGACTTGCTCTTTCCTGTACAAGTGATGTTTTTTTTTCATTTATTAATAAACCAATTAACTGAGCACATCTTGACAGAAGGGGAGTATTTTTAATGCTGAAGCTGCTGCATTTTATAAGTATTGACAAGAGATCAATACAACACTGCCAGGGACAATTTCATTCCAAGTACATTTAGAAAAGGTCTAATAGCCCCTCATGCCTAGCCAGGACTTTTTAAACTAATGAGAATTAAGAACTGGGCTGCTCAGTATGACAGAGACATGGACGGACCAGAAAGAGTCCAATGAAGGGTCACGAAGATGATGAAATGAATGGAGCATCTCTTCTATAAGGAAAGGCTGAGAGAGCTGGGACCATTCAGCCTCACTAAGAGAAGGCTTAGGGGATCTTACTGATGTCTATAAATACCTGAAGGGGTGGGTGCAAAAAAGACAGAGACAAGCTCTTTCTAGCTATGCCCAGTGACAGGACCAGAGACAGTAGGTACAAACTGAAACACAGGAGGTTCCCTCTGAGCATCAGGAAGCACTTTTTTTACTATAATCATGACTAAGCATTGGAACAGGCTGACCAGAGAGCTTGTGGTGTCTCCAACCTTGGAGATGCTCAATAACTGATCCTGGGCAATCAGCTCTAGGGGGCCCTGCTTGAGCAGGGGGGTTGGACCAGATGACCTCCAGAGGCCCCTTCCCCCCTCTACCACTCTCTGTGAAGGTTAGAAGTAGAAAACGGACTGTCGTGCTTCACAGTACACTCCTGCCTACTCTCCATATGTTGAAAAAAAAATTAAAGAAACAATTTCAGTTTTGCAATTATAAACCAGCAGTGCCAAGAAAAACATCTGATACATGCCCATAAGCCCTGACAGGGAGAATTTAGGGTGCTGCCAGGTGAAAATGTGGAGCTTAAGGAAGTCATGTTCCCCTTGAGTATCTATCATCATAACTAACACCTTTACATGTGTTACAAAGTGAATGGGTCTTGGCTTATACACAGATTTGAGGTATGACCTGATGATCAATCACTTCCTACCTGCATAACTGTCAAGAAAAAAATATTCAGTTTCAAGGAACTTTGTATTTCCAAACTACTTTCCTTCATATATGCAAGGACCCTTAATTTTTAATTATATTTTACAGCTTAGTAATACTGTATGCAATTAGTACCTTTCTAACATCCGACAACTAACTCCTTTTCAGTTATCAGGGGAAGACTTGTCACCACAGACTTGTTTGAACTGCTTATTACGCTTATAGTTATGACATCCTAAATTATCACAAATGGAAAAAAGTTCATTTTATGAATACCATACTTAAATTTCTAACTGGCTCACCTGAGTAACTTGGGTTTATAGGATGTTTCTTAAGGCTGCAATGAAATACGCATGGAAATGTATTTATGTACCTACAAGTACTAGTTTAACTACACCACTCTGTCAAAAATATGCAGGCTGTCTGGTATTTGCTTTTACAGTAGAGTGTTATATTTCAAGACCAGTAATACAATAAACAGTGTTCATCTGAGATGCATAGTGCTAAAAGTGGCACTGTTCCAGAAAACTAAATATGATATTTAATCTTTTAGCTGAGACTCAGTTTATTATCTGCAAAGGCTGGGGGTTGCACACTGCCTTTAATCACTCCCAGGTGACTCTACTTCCTGTTCCATTTTTCTTTATATTTCAAAACATATGTTGACAGCACGTACTGTGAAGCTAAATGGCAGTATAAACAACATCTACTGCCTCTCTTATGAGTTATCAATGTATTTCAGCAAGTAAAACATTGTACAATGGAAATCATCTGATATGGGAACTGTGGGGATGAGTGTTGATGAGTTTGCATTAAGCAGAAGAACCTGAGGGCTTACAAAGAGGAACCCATACGTCTCTACAGCATACACAGCCGAGACTCCTGTATATGCATGTGTGAACTCACTGCCAGGGAAGAGCCCCCTATGCCTATTAAACTACTTACAGCACTTTGCTGAAACAACTCAGTGTATAATTTACTTAATCCACTTGTCACAGAATATTCCATAACTTTGCATTCCCATGGATATAGGAAGACAGAATATTCAAAGCTCTTTTAAAAATGTCAATATGGGATAAATTTATTATAAATATAATCCTGCACAAGAGACACTTTGCCTTGTGTTTATTGGGAAGTGGAAGCACAAAGCCCCACCATGCAGGGGAGGCTGCATGGCTGTTATGCTATGCAAAGAGAGAAACATCCACCTCAGAAGGCAATGACAGTTGCCTGCCTTCTGACCTGTACTGTCTACCTGAACACATTTTTCAGACAGGCATCGAAGCTAATAAAAACCAGAACAATACCAGAAATACAGATCAGAGACACAAGCTGAAAGTGCTACATACCTTTACTTTATACAGTAAAGGGTGACTACAGGAGTTTCCAAAAAGTAGTGAGTAAATCAGAATATTCTTTTTATGGTTTATTTGTCCTATAGTATGAAACTTTTCAGCCTTTCTTCTAGTTTTCTCTAGAAGAAAGCAGTGAGGCTATTTAACAAAGTGAACAAGAAAATAACAGAAATATATTGAACTGTCTAAAGGTTTTGACTCATTTTTCTCTTTTACAGTCTCCCACCAAAGGAACCCTAGTTACTTACCTTCTTCTTCTGTTTGTCTCTATTGAATATTTCTGTGCCCTACTCCGACATATTTTTTGATCTTCTTTCAATGCCTGGCGTTCTTCTGCTAAATCTTGCTCAAAATGAAATGGTAAAGCTCTATCCCTAGTATTGTGTTAAGGACAATGGAAACTGCATCAAACAGCTCATCAAAGGATATAGTAGCCTGATTGACTGACTTTGCATACTGTTTGGGAAAGGACAAGCTTTATGTATGAGATACAAAATACACAACAGTTGATCCCATAATTGTATATTATAGTCATAACTAACTTTGTGTTCATCCACAAAAATAAAAGTCATTACATTTTACTGTTTACAGTGATTTTAAAAGGCTTTGCAATCATCTTTCATGGTATCAGAAGATGAAAAATCTCACCTTTATTACGCTTATTTGAACAAGCATCTTTCTTTTATCTAAATCTATAACATATGGATACATGTGCCACAGTGAAAATGTTTCAATAGTAAAAACAGTTCCTCCCTACCTAAAGGATTAGTTTACTCTGACATTCATTAATATCACTGGATAAATGCTCTCCACAGAGCATGATCTGTCCTGTCTTACTTCGGTTATAACTGAAGTAGCATGGTACAGGTGGAGCTTAGAACTTTGTCAGTATTTCTTATTACTTAAAATTAAAGGAAATAAGGATCCATAAGTTGGAGTGGAAAACACAATTCCCAAAGGCAGAATCTCCTCATGGAGTCATTGAATGGTTTGGTTTAGAAGTGACCGTAAAGTTCATTCAGTTCCAGCCCTCTTGCCACGGGCAGGGACACCTTCCACTACATCAGTTTGCCCAAAGCCCCATCCAACCTGGTCTTGAACACTGACAGGGATGGGGCGGCCACAGCTTCTCTGGGCAAGCTGTGCCAGTGTCTCATCACCCTCACAGTAAAGAATTTATTCCTAAATGTCTAAATCTCCCCTCTGTCAGTTTAAATGCATGTCCCCTTGTCCTGTAAACTGTCCCTCTCCAGCTTTCTTGTCGGCCCCTTTAGGTACTGGAAGCTGCTCTAAGTCTCCCCAGAGCCTTCTCTTTCCAGGCTGAATAAGCCCAGCTCCCTCAACCTGTTCCACTTCCAAGAGGGAACATAAGAAAAGTCGCCTGAGAAGTCAACTTCCCTACAGCACTTGAAGAAACCAACGTGCCAGTTTTATTTCGATCCACCCCTAAAGCAAGCCCCCACCACCGCCCCAAACCCGCCGCCCCCCCCGGACTCCAGGCTGCCCGCGGCCTAATTCCTGCCCGTGCCGGAATCTCTCCGCGGGCCGCCCCCAGCCATCCCCGACCGCCCGCCCAGCCCCTTGCCTCGGCGGCGACCCCGGAAGGATACACGGCAGCAGCGCACCACGTCCCACCCGCGCTGTCCTGGAGTCCTCCGAGGGGTATTTGCCTCTGCACCGCCCCGCCGCCAGTCCCGCAGGGCTCCATTCAGCGCCTCGGGCTTGCTGCCTCACACCGCAGCGGGCCGCGTCCACAGCCGGACGCCCTCCCGGTGCCATAGCAACCGGAGACGCCGCTTCCTTCGCAACGGGGCGGGGCCGCGGCCGAGGGGAGGCGGGAAACGGGTGAGGGAGCGTAGGGAAGGGCTGAGGGGAGGCCGGGAGTGGCCGCGGCTCGCCTGGAGCTCCCGTTACAAGCCTTCTAATCGGGCGCGAGGTCCAGGGCCGTTGGGGCTCCCCCGGAAGGGAGCGCTCCCGGCGGGGCCGGGCCTCGCGGTGCCCGGGGGTGCCCGGCCCTGGGTGGAAACCGCGCGCACGCATCTCTCTCCGCCGCCGGCACCCTCTGTGTCTGTCGCCTCTTCAGGCACGCCACTGAGGGACCCCTCGCCAGGCTTCCCATCCTGTCTGCACTTGTATAAACAACGGAGTGCCTTTTAAAACTAACAAACAAACCAGCCGGTATCAAAACAAATGACGTTTCCCGTTAGTTTTGCAGGGTTTTGGTGTTTTTTCTTTTTTTTTTTTTTTTAAACACAGGGTGTAGAAATAGCAATGAAAAAAAAATAGAAAAATATAAAAAGTATATAAAAAAGTAAATAAAATTACACAAAGTAAAAAAAAAAAAAGTTTTTAAGACTGCAAAACGTGTGGTTTTTTTTTCCAGGCAAAGCAGGGTGTGTTGTCTTGGGATGTTCATGCCTTGGATGAGCTGTCAGCAGAAGTCTAAATGCCTCGGTGATTTCATGGTGAGACATTTCTTGGCTGTTGTATTTGAGCTTAAACCAATTCTTCTCTTTTTCAGTGTGCAGCTGTTCTATGTCTTTGACTAGGAGGTTAAAAATAGTACTCAGCATTTGTAAAATACTTTTCCCCACAGACTCCCACCTCCGTATTTGTAGCACAGCCTGTGAAGTGTTACTATTGCCATTTTACACACAAACCCACTGCTGCTCACATTGACAAATGTGCTTAATTTATATTAATACATAATTTATGTTATTTATATTTTTATATATTATATATATTTATTTATATATTTATATTATAAATAATACCCCAGTTACCACAGTTGAGAAGATGACCCTAAAATGACAGTTTTCCACCTGTATTCAGAATAATAATTCAGAATAATTTTGTAAGGAGGAAATTCTTTCCTGTTAGGGTGGTGAGGCACTGGAATAGGTTGCCCAGGGAGGTTGTGAATGCTCCATCCCTGGCAGTGGTCAAGACCAGGTTGGACGAAGCCTTGGGTGAGATGGTTTAGTGTGAGGTGTCCCTGCCCATGGCAGAGGGGTTGGAACTAGATGATCTTAAGGTCCTTTCCAACCCTAACTATTCTATGATTCTAATACCAGGCCCAAATTCACCACTTCTTTGCCCGATCTGAACTCTTCTGTGTTGCAGGTGTAAGGCTGTTCGTCACTTCACTACCTTTCAATCCACATACACTTTAAAAATCCCAGTTTGCCTGAAAAAAATGCAGTGCTTCATTTAGGAAGCAGCAGAAGTTTTTACCAGTGTGGAGTCACGCCAACAGGACTGAAGCAGAGCTTAGAAACAGTTCCAGAACTTGAGCCTATGTCACATCTGGGAAGATTCAGGTTCATAGAATCATAGAATCAAAGGTTGGAAAAGACCTTTAAGATCATCAAGTCCAACCATTACCCCGGGACTGCCAAGTCCACCTCTAAACCATGTCACTGAGAGCATCTACAGGGTTTCTGAACACTTCCAGGGACGGTGATTCCACCACTTCCCTGGGAAGCCTGTTCCAATACTTGTGGCAGCTCACATCAGCAGAATTTGAGCTTCTCTAGACTTACTGCAAATTTTGATCTTATCCAGTGCAACTCACAGCTTCACCTTAGATACCTTCTGAAATTCAGAATTAAGGATAGTGTGTATATATATATATATATACACACACACCTTTCTGTCTTTCTTGGTTTTACCTTTTTCTTACTTGTTCATAGCCCTCCTTTATGGTTATTAGATAATTCCTCCTGGTGAGTAACCTCACATCTTTCAGACTGGGGGATGAAAAGGTGACAAGCTGAGGACCATGTATTTCAGAACTGTATGATTATTCTGGGACAGCACACATCCTGGTATCAAATGGTTACAAAATGGAAGGTCCCACTCTGGCAGCTGGTTTGAAAACAGTTTCATAATTTTTACTGTGGGCTAGAGACTGATATTCCAGTCAAGGATAAAGATCAGCTCTCAAATCCTTGTGGGATAGATTCTGAATTTATTACAGAACTTAACTGAAGGCTGGAGCATAGTTATGCTGCTGCAGAAACACATTTTTCTGTCTTCTTTTTCCACCGGGGGATTAATCTGCTAATGCCCTTTAGCTTTCTTCCAAGCTTCAGTTTAACTGTGTAGATGACTGCATGGGAGAGGGAGGTCAGTCCATGTTCTGACCACTTTAACCATTCGTTCCTGAAATTTGTCACCTCTTCTGATTTCTGTGCAGATAAAGAGGAATGAAAACTGTTCTTTCCCCTTTAATGTCATATATGAGTAGCCAATAAAATCTTTTCAGCTTCTTCCTGAGACTGAACTGTAGATCACAACCTGCATCTTCTTGAGAGAGCGTCAACTGATGCACTAGTTAATTCTAGTAATCCTTATATCAGAAGAGCTATGATGTGCCATGAGGTATGTCAGAACAAGTTAAAAAATATTTTGAGATATTTTGAAGAACCTAAGTTCTTAAAAATTTCACAGACAGTCGAACATGCTCCTCTCAGGGAGAGGCCAGGTACTGGTGCTTAGTCGGCTTCAGCTGTTAAGTGAAAGAAAACATTGTATTAAAAACTGGATTTAAAACTGTATTAATCCCTGCCCCCCATTTGCTTTCAAATCTGTTTGTATCACAAGCTATTTCCAGTGTATTCCAGCTTCAGACAGGGCTGGAGATGAACCTCAGTATCAAGACCAATTTGGAACATTGGCTGGCTGAACCAGTGCAAGGTGATGTTGAGCATTATATTCTGATGGAGTATCTCCAGCGGTACATTAGAAGATGAAGTTTCATTTATTCAGCCAGATTACAAGCAATTTAAATTCTCTGATGTGCACGAGGAGTTGAAAATCTGTTGGACCTTTATGAACTTTCCAAATTAACTTTCCAAGTAACTTGCTTTTTGGTTAAAATATCAAACCCAGTTTTAAAGATACAAAAAGAGTGTATTTAAGTGTATGAAAACCGTAATTGCCTCATAGCTTTAATTAAGTTTCTGTGGACTACATTTCATTTTCTTCTTTTTCAGCACATTCTCTCATACTTCGACATTCTTCAGGTATTTGAAAGATTGTCTCACTTACAGTCCCTGTGTTACTACAGGTGGGCTACTAGTGAGACCAAGAGACTGCTTTTGTTCTCCTGGTAAACAGGTTTCTATGTAGTACAAAGTATTGCTTGAAAGTAATATTTTTCAATTTTCTATTTGAATCTGCTTTTAGAACTTATTCTAAAATTGCCTCCACAGCCTGTTCTAGTGCACTACCATCACACCAATATAAACACCTTCATTTTAATGCTAAAAACCTTTGCGAAAGGTGAAAACATTGATCCATACTAGTTTTTCTTTCAATTAGGCCAGACTACTCAGTGCCAAATATATACCAATGCTCAAAAATAGTGCATAAGAAAATCTGTCAGTTTTATCACAATGAAAATACATATGTTTGATGTGTCATGTAGAGGTTATAAGCAGTAATTGCTCTCAGGATACAAGCAGTAGTGTATAAAATCTACTGTGCAATTGAAACATGCTTTGTTAAATCCAGGAATTAAAGGAGTGTTGGCTGCGCTTTGTGCTGCAGACATTCCCAAATAGTTAGCTCAGGACTTCATAGTGTACAATCCTTTCCACGGAAATTTGAAACCCTTCAAAACGTTTGCATTTCTTCAAGTAAAAGATGAACTGCTTTGGGGTAACTTCACTGATTTGTCTCCATATTTGTTTGTTCAGTTTAGGAGAGACTGTCATAAGTAATGGCAAGCCTTGTTCATCTAAGGTAAGATTTTCAATTCCTTTGCTTAGATAAGATAACGAATGTAACTGGATGATTTCTCAGAAAAGCGACAGATGTTTTGAAACTCTATATTGCTTTATTCAGAGTAGACAGGAAAACACAGAACAATCAGATATTTCCAGACAGAGGAAAAAAACTACATTCAAACTGTAGGAAATCAGTTAGAATTAGAGCAGTTATGTGTTAATTACTTTCATCACAGCCCTGTTGTTAGGCCATATTTTTAATCTCATCTGCATGAACAAATGCAGAATAACTATTGTTTTTGGCAGAGTCACAGTTTTTGCTTGAATTGCTGAGGTCAGCTTTAATAGCCTGTTTCATGTTGGCTTTATTAAAAGTAAATATTGATTGAAAATATTTGCTTGACAGCATTTAATTGAACATGTAGTGAGGAGCTGTGATAAAGCCCTGGAACAAAGCAGAGTTCTGAGTGATCTGTTTATAAGCTTCAAGTCAATTTTTCTTCCTTTATTCTGTGCTTATTTCAAAATTAAAGAAACATGTTCTTTTAGTTCTCTATTGTTTATCTCCAGTCCCAAACTGTAATTATATTAATAATTCAGAAACTTTTTTTAATATAAAATCTCCTTGTTAACAGTTTTATCTAATTTCTACTTACAGTTTGTAAAAGCAAGTCAGAAAAAAAACCTGTTCAGTGCTTTGCCAGTGTACTGCAAAAACCAGAAAGAGAAACCTGAAGCACTAAAGGAGAACAAGTGTTTTGAAGATGTATTCAAGTCTAAATGAGTTTTCTTTTTCATTAAAATCTTCATGTTTCTAAGGATCCTATTTACACTTGAAAATACAGTATATTAACATACTACAATGCTTTGCTGAGATTATGGAATCAACAAAGGCTCAAATGAATTTCTTAGTCTTTTGACAATGACACATATATCAGGAATTACTTTTAGCATTTCTGTAAGTGATGAGTCAGAGGCATTCCCATATTTTCTCTCACACAGCACCAGGAAAGAAAAAATATATTAAGTATGAAAATATTATTTTAAAAGAAC